CTGCATTTGACATTGAGAGCATAGGTCGTAATTTAGATATATTTTTGAGATGGAAAAATGCAGTTTTACAAATGCTAGAAACGTGGCTTTCAAAGGAAAGATTGCTATCAAACAGCACACCTAGGTTCCTAACTGATGATGAAGAATTGACAGAGCAGCCATCAAGTCTTAGACAGTATTCTAGGTTATTACATGTAGAGTTTTTAGGTCCTATAATTAACACCTCTGTTTTAGGTGTTTAGCAGGCAAATGTTACATCTCACCCATGTAAACATTTGGATTTATGCCGAATGACGGAGGCAAAAGAATCCCATAAATTTAAAAGAAGCCATATGTGGCTTTGTGTTCTGTTTTGCTGCTTGATCACTCAAATGTCCAGGTTTAAACAATACTAATAAACTAATTTAGTCGTTCCTTCATTTTAGTTAAGGCATGGTCACATTGTACTAAATTGATGCTTAGTTTTGCTTTAAAGAGAGAACAAATCAATGTAACTTGGCTCGTGGCCACAAATTTAAGTCATAGGAATGAATTACTAATTTTTTTTTTTTTTATCTACATTCATCATCATGTGGGGCTCAGACATTTCACACGCAACGGTAAATTAGTTTTGCTTTCCCCAAAGCACAACATCTAATTTAAATGTTTTGCTCGTGCAGAAAATATCATTAACTTTTTTGACCATTTAGACACAGTTTGAGCTTCCTTGGATTTTTTTTTTTTTTTGTCAATTAATAGATCAGTGATTAATTATCATCCCTCATTGAGATAAGTCTATAATTAACTATATCTCCTGGGTCAAACTGTTCTTTTTTTAATAAAGGGTTTAACTGCCAGCTTAAAGGTTCTTGAGACATGGCCTAAAGAACGTTAGTAATGTTGTGAAGAGCAGCGTTACTCAACTCTAGCCCTCAAAGTCCCCTTTTCTGCAAACTTGAGCTTTCAAATAGAGCTTTCTGCCTATAGCTTTTAAATAACACAGAAGACCTTGATTAGCATGTTCAGGTGTGTTTGATTAGGGTTGGAGCTAAACTCTGAAGGAAAGGAGTTTTTCAAGGGCCATAGTTTTGACCGGTGTAATTTCCGGCAGGTGTATTGGGACAAGTAGGACAGTGGCCCTCCAGAGCAGGTTTGGACACCTCTGGTACAGGATCAAGCATACATGTTGTTGATTTTGATGCATTACGTACCTAAATGTTTTGATGTCTGTTGTATTGTGCCATTAAACTGGGGATAACTTTTGTTTGTTTTTTCACCTTAGACCTAATGGCATTGAAAAAAGAGAAAGAAGTACTCCATGACATTGAAGAGAAAGATCAATACGAGAATCTCCACGATTTCACAGCTGGGAAAAAATCTTTCAGGTGTTCACAGACTGAAAAGATTTCCACACGAAAAAAAGCTCAAAAGACTGGAGCAACTATAAGTGATTTCACTTGCTTTCGGTTTGGAAAGAGTTTCAATCAACAAGGAAACCTTAAAGTCCACATTGGGGAGACCCCTTTCAGTTGCCAACACTGTGGAAAAGGTTTCACTTATAAAGGAAGTCTTGACAGGCATATAAGAATTCACACCAGAGAAAAGCCATACACCTGCCAACACTGTGGAAAAAGTTTCACTCATAAAGGAAGCTTTGACAGGCACATAAGAATTCACACCAGAGAAAAGCCTTACACCTGCCAGCAGTGTGGAAAAAGTTTCTCTCAACATGGAAACCTTGAAGTCCACATGAGAATACACAATGGAGTGAGTCCCTTCACTTGCGAACAGTGTGGAAAAAGATTCAGTCATCAAGGAAGCCTTAGCCACCACATGAGAATTCACACCGGAGAGAAGCCTTACACCTGCAAACAGTGTGGACAAAGTTTTACTAATAAAGGAAGCCTTAACTGGCACATGACTGTTCACACTGGAGAGAAGCCGTACACATGCCCTCAGTGTGGAAAGAGCTTCCATCAGCATGGAAACCTTCAAGCCCACATAAGAATTCACACTGGAGAGAAGCCTTACACCTGCCAACAGTGTGGAAAAAGTTTCACTCATAAAGGAAGCCTTAACTGGCACATGAGAATTCACACCGGAGAAAAGTCTTAGGGTGCTTTCACACCTGGCCCGTTGTTTCAGAACCTAGCGCGTTTCCCACCTTAGCTCGGTTCGTTTGGGCATATGTGAACATGGCAATCACGCTTGGATCCGCACCAAAACAATCGGTCCGAGATCACCTTAAAGTCCCCATAAAATCAAAATTAAAGTTTTTTGGGTGTTAGTATCAATATGTTAGTCTTAAAAGGATAGTTCACCCAAAAATGAAAATTTGATGTTTATCTGCTTACCCACAGGGCATCCAAGATGTAGGTGACTTTGTTTCTTCAGTAGAACACATTTGATGATTTTTAAAGGGGTCATATGATGCTGCTAAAAAGAACATTATTTTGTGTATTTGGTGTAATGAAAAGTTAAAAAAACACATTATTTTCCACATACTGTACATTATTGTTTCTCCTCTATGCCCCGCCTTTCTGAAACGCATTGATTTTTACAAAGCTCATCG